ATCATCTGTTTTGTTGCAATGACTTCCATTCCCTGGAGGAATTTTGAACAAATCAAATGCTCACGTTACTTTGGTGACTCTTGCCACCCTCAACCAAGAGCATGGACATGCTGTGACTTTTAACAATCCATGATCTGGTTAGTTTCGTTTAATCCTAAATTATAATCATTATACCTGAAATTTGAATTCCTTTTGAAATAGGTGGCATCTATTCACTACACCAAACAGAAAATTATTCAGTATTTTTCATTTAAAACAATAAGTTAGTTGGAATTAATTGTCAAACCAGGAAACCAACGACTCACCAAGCAAACCAGAGATCTTATAACTCGGTTTTTCAGTGGTCAATAGTTAGGTCAGGTATAATAAGGTATTAGATGTAAAATAAATGGAGCGTGCTATGTTTATATTCAGGTGGGCCCCACCCATGTGAGTGGGGGACACCATTATGTACAATTTTTTATGTACAACAAGAATTATCCAAAATAAAATGTGCCCTCTCAAGATTATTTTACGTTCATGTGCGATCAAACTAGGCTTTGATAGCAAGGCTCTATAGTCGCCATGGCACCATAATGGCTTGGTCGTCTCTACATACCTTACATGTGTAAATAATTTAGTGTTACGAAACACGTTCATTGATCTCTTCTGTAATGTTGAGGGTCCGTTTCTCGTAATTATTATGTCTATATAAATTAGGTATTAATGTTACATTTACTGCTTAACTAATATAATTATTTTCAACTTGAGTGATTATATTTTTGACAGTTGAATGTAGTAGATCGAGACTCTAGTCGATGGACTTGCTAATTAATTTAAGTTCAATGTGTACACTATATTTATTTTATCATGTGCTTCTAACTTTTCTTGTTTAAGGATTGAACCCAAACACCATGTTAGATGATTACTTTTATTTTTCTAAGAACATTTTTTGTGTAAGTTAATTACAAGATATATTTAATAACATAATAAATCAAGTTTGAGTAATGTTATTCATAGTCGGTAATTGCGGTAGTCGCTCTACGTGGCATCCTACATGGCTGTTTATGGTTTCATGAATTAATTTGATAATTTTTTTCTTGCCACATATATCAAATCATTAATCGTCAGATGTGTGCCACGTAGGGCGACTGCAATAGTGATTGACTACAAATAGTATTATTCATCAAGTTTAGGATTAAAGAAAGTCGAAGGGTGGCTTCTTTGCATTGGGTTATTATTCTAGAAGTTAATGTGTAGGGGTTTTAATTTTTAATTTATATTTTTTTTTTTTTTTTTTTTTTTTTTTTTTTTTTTTGACAGTTCTATTTGCAGGTTGGGTCTTAATAGCAATAATATGCCTCTTCTCGAAAGGCAGCTCTTGAGACTTAAATTTAACTAAGTGGAACACTGGTGTTGACCCGATTGATATTTAAGAAATTGAATATTGTTAAAGTGTTTAAATAAATGGAAATGAATTAGGAGCTTTGGGCACATTGAATTCGTGGATGGTTAGGAACATCTCCATTTACCATTCAAAAGGTGAATTGCCAAGACTCGAGGTAAGTAACCCTCTTCCTATCTTCATGCGTACGTTACATTGTAAAATGTATAATTGTGTTAATATTATTATATTAACATGATATTTGACTATTACGTTTTATGCCATTAATTTTTTTCATGACATTCATGCATGTCAATATCAAGAAAAAATGATCTTATTGGCTAAATAATAGTTCTCCCCTATAATCTTATTGGTTAGGCTATATGTTAAAATGAGCTCACAATATTAATGTTAAAGTTTTCAACAAAAATGGAAAAAAAAATTATTTTAAGGTAATTCATATATATATCGAAAGAATGCATCATATGCATGAAGTTTGTTTATTGGGCGTTAGCTCAATCCACATTATTCCCCCTCATTTTTCAAATAATGAAAGCTAGATAATTCATGATGACAACTTGTGACGAGACAAAATTGTCTTTTGTTTTTATTAAATATAGAGTATTCTAAAATTCTTTTCATGAATAAAAGTCATTAATGTTTATTATGTTAAAGAAATTTTTTTTTATATATTTATGATTTTAAAATAATTAAATGATAATACTTTTAAATTTAGGGAATCTAAATTTGGGATGTTACATCTATCTGCACTGGGATTGCCAATGACATCAGAAATTCATTATTGACATTTTCATAGTTTCCATCGACATTTGTACGATTTCTCACCTATGAATCACATTATCAAATTTGTCCATTATGTTATAGAATAACATAAATTTATAATAACAAAAAATGGAAATATGTTAATTAAATACATGGCAATAGTGAATGCTTTTAACCCATAGATGCTTTGGTACTTCACTATTTATCATCAAAATCAAATCTATTTCAACCATATATCGGTGTTTTCTTTCAAACAACCTATTTATTTAGTTCAGGCTCCCAAGACGGGCCTCTTGTCCTAGGGCCACATCTATCTAATTGATTGAGAACTCATATTTTCGTTAATAGAATATAAAAGTGCTACTAATACAACTAGCAACTATACAATAAACAAACGTTATTTAACTTCAGTACCCTCCGTCAAGCATAATTAGGATGAATCTCTACTAAGCTTGTCACGAGAATCTACTAAAGAAGTTTATTATAAAAAGATATTACTTGTAAATATTGTTTGGAAGACTTTTCCTCTGATCGCCCAAGTTTTTTTGACATATAACCTCCGCCTTTAATATTCTTCACATTTTATTTAGAGGCACATCTGAATCCTAGAGAGAGTAGAGAGAGAGAGCAACAAAATTGCATATTATTATGACCTCAAAATTGGAAAAAAAAAAAAAAAGTCAATTGGAGAAATAATTGAAGTAGAAAGTTTCTATCTAAATACTTTACAATTCTGTACGATTTTAAGTTCAACCGTAAAGGTATTAAATGGGGCAAGCCTATTCTCTCGGCTAGACTTGTTCAATTGAAGCATAACTCAACTTGTTCCACGATTTACTTGCAACTTATTATTATTATTATTTACTGAAACTGACATGTTTCATTGTGACGCGTCAATAAACTTGAGAGTCAACTCGGAACTTGCACAAATAATCAACTCCAGTGGAACGAACCAACCCTTGACACCCATTTAAGTATAAGATATTTATATAATGGGAAGAGAACAAATGAAAAAGGGTAGGACCGACCTTGAATTCCTAGTGATTAGAGAACCATCTCTTCCACCTTTATGAATTGCCAACTTTTCTCTCTAAAGTAAAAAGTAAAATTAAAACTTTTAATTGAATACAAAGTAGCCAACAATCAACCATTGAATCCATCGTCATTTTCTTAGTGACTTCCTCTTTTCAAGATCCCATAAACTTTTTATTCTATCAATTTAATAATTTATTCATAATTTTTGGTTGTATTCTCAAATTGTGATTTCTATATTTCTTATTAGAGGTTATTGGGATGGTCAAACATATATTTCTTTATAGTCCCCTCTCTAACTATTCTTTAATGATATTTATAATTGTGATGGTCGAGAAATCTCAAAAAATAGTTAGACTCATGTTTACACCTTCACCAAGACAAATACTACAACTATATATGGTGCGGGGGTGATAATAATAGTACTTAGGATCCATTTGGCTGACTTGAAAAGTCACAATCGGCTTCTCAAAATTATAAGCTATTTTGAATATATTTGAATAATTATATGAAAGTGTTTTGTCTAAATTTTAATTAAAAGAGCCTTCATATAGACATTAAAATTGACATAAAATAATAGGATCTTGTTATATGTACATAAAAATTTACATAATAGATTATATAATACCAGATGATATTTTACCACATGCCAGTTTAGAACACAATCAATTTTTTCATCCAATATTTTCCTTCCATATCATATTATGTAATCAGTTATGTATTTTTTTTTTTTATGTAAAGTAGCAAAATTCGTTTATAATACTCTTCTATAAATATGAAAACCCTTCCAAACGGATCCTTTAAACCAATGGGATCTGCTTAGCTGTACACTTTTACAGTCCCCTCACAATGAGGGAGTCCATAAATTTAATATTCATGTGAGCCCCTTCAACATGTGAGGGGACTGTACACTATAGCATGTGTACAAATAGCTTTTCCCTAAACCAATAGTGATACTCCCACAAATCCCAATCTATAATTATATTATGGTTTTATTAATTGAAAGAGAGAGTTTTGCTTAGAGCTGCAAAAAATTTGAAGGCACCGTTCCAGCAATTGCGGCACCTTGTCACCTTCTTTAATAACTAGTTTAATTGTCATAAGTTGACTGCGGCCCTTCTTTATTCCGGCGCTGAATTCGGGTTGCCTGCTGGCCCCAATTAATATTTGAACCGAAAAATTTAAATGAGCCTATAAGAAATTATGTTCTTCTCGGGAAAAAATAAATAAATAATAATAATAAAAATAAAATCGTATTAGGTTAATCGTTTGAAAATGAGTAGTTCAAGTAAAATTAAACTTTAATTTAATCTTGGTACTTGGGATCCTAAAAATGAAGACATTGTAAACTCTAATTGAATAATATAGATAGAGTCATACTCATTTATTATTTGATATTAAGTAATTTAGTCAAAAGTTACTTGTGACATTTTTGTACATATTTGAATAATTTTTTTAGAAGGTCGTCTGACTAGAAAAATTATTAGAAAAAAATTACATTGATTCGTCTAGAAGCAAATTTCAAATTTCAATCAACTTTTTTTTTAAATGCTATAGTCGAACACATACTTAGATCTATTGTCGACCACTATTTCATCCTTTAATCTCCTCGATACATTGTTTTTAGGAGAAAATATAAATCTAGCTTTTGGCCTTCATTTATGTAGTGAAATAATGCATTTGATAAATAATCCATAAGTACATGCATGATTCATGCTCAATTATAGGTCCAATTCAATACCATCTAGATTTGTGGCCACTTGCTTCGAAATTCATAAAAAGCGATTGAGTTAATGTCAATTTATTCTGCAGCCTCACCCCATAACAAAACAAAAAAGTTCCAATAACAAGTACCAATTCTTGTGTGGAATAAATTTGAAGAGACGTCAAATCAAAATCAATCATGTAGAAAAATCAAATGAATTCCATTCCTACTTTAAGTCAACAAAAAATGCTCCTTTCGTTTTTCATCCTTTATTTTTCCATTTACAAAATGTATCCCTTCAACATATAAATTCGGCATTGTCGTCGCCGCCGCCATCATCATAATGATATGATACGGGTAGTCATGGTATTGTCTGTGTACATAGCCACCGCCGTCAATGTCAAAATGGCATGATATGAGTGGTCTTAGTATCGTAACACGAAAGAAAAGAGGACTTGGACTTGTATCGAAAAACCTTGAGCAAATCACTCGACATTTGCCTAACTGCAACAGAACAATTGCTCTGCATAAGCAGCAAAATCTTGGCCATGCCATTGCTCTTTGTTACATATTCTTGTGCCTTTTTGTCCCCAAATAAACAGCACAAACTCCACAAAATTGTCACTGCGTGTTCACTTCCCACATTCGTTACTTTCAAAACCTTCTTCACAATTGCTTCTACACAAATTTCATTCCTACAAATCTCAACTCTCCCTTCTTTACAAGTTGATACCATTTCCAATAGTTTAAGCACTTTTTCCGTCAATGAAACGCTCAATTCTGATTCCGACAGCGCTTTTGCCAACACGCCTACGCCGCCATTGCGCACGATTTTAGCCCTGTTTCTCTTTGTCAATGATAAACAGATTAAACAGGACAAGGATGAATCCATGGCCTCTGGTTTACAATCCATACTGGCTATTAATCTTAGTAATTCTGAGTATATTTGATCATCTTCTGATATCAAATTTCTCACTTCCAAATACAAATTGGACGTGATTTCTAGAAGTTTGGCAATTGCAGTTCTTAATTCTGATCTCCCTTGTGAAAGTCCTATAATCATTGAAGATTTGAATTCTTTCCCGACATCAAATCGCGAAATCAAAGGGGAATTTGATCGTCCTTCTACCGAGTCAGCTTTTACTGGCTGTTGTAAGATTATGTTACATAACTGAACAAATTTCTCAAAAACTTCAAGATCTTTCACCAATTGTTTATTGCCAAAAGCAGCAATAAGCAACGGTAAAAGCCTATCGCCGCCGGCTGAGGCTAAGAGCTTGCCGTTTTCTTCCACATCCTTGGCGAATAAAATCAGCCTCGAAATTGTATAGATTTGGAAACTAGAATCCTTATCAGTATTCTGAAGCTCATTTTCCAGCTGGTTGATGAGTTCATGAACGTTGTCTTGAGTGATCGAGCTGGGTTGGTGAGTTGGCTGTATATTTCCAGGCCGAGTCCGGACCGAGCCAGACTCGGACCAGATCTTGATAAGCCGTTGTAGAGTATGGTTGGGGACAAGTTCCTTGGTCTGAAGCAGCTGCATGGTGGCGGGGCAGGTATTATTACCGCCGTCCAACCACCGCTGGATGCTGGTGCGGTCATACGTCACACCAGTGCACAGACTCACAGGGGATTCCATCACATCAAGAGAAATCGGACAGCGAAAATAACTAGGCACTGTTATGCACAAATCGTCCTTCACCATCTTCACAATCAAAACTATCAAACTCAGTGGTTGATTTCTAGGGAGATAAAGGAAGGAAGGAGTTTTAGAGAGAGAGAGAGAGAGAGAGAGAGAGTGATGAAGGACAAAAGTAGACTTTGGGCAAGTTGGGGGGTGAATGGAAGTTTGTTATGAAGAAGAAGAAATGACGTAAGCAGGGATTTTGTGAACGGATTATTTTGTGGAGTTTGGTCAATGGTCAATGCGACATTGTGTCTTGGTTCGATGGGCAACTCACTTAGGTGTTGCCGTTAGGTTCTCCACTTTCTTGTGTCCTTTACTCCCAACCAAACAATAAAATTTGACCCCACTCCACCCCCAAAAAAACCTACAAAACCCCCCTCTCCCCAATCATATTATGGGAGCGTTTGTTTCTCATTTTTGTAAAAATGAGATTGAGAATGAAAAATATAGTTATGAACTTGACGCAAGAGATAGAAATTCAAATTTGGTGACTTGATGTAATGGATAACGATCATATTTTTCATTTTAATCAGAATAGAATGAAAAATAAACGGGAGTTATATTTCTATTTTGAATACGAACAAAATTTACAAATGTTACATAACAAACATTTCATTTACTGTCATCTCAGCACCTATAAACTTGTTTGTACAAATTATCTATGAAAGTATCAATTCTATTCTATATTTGACCTTATTTCATACAATTTTTTTGTCTTATGAAAAAGTAATTAATAAAATTGAGTACGCATTTGAGCATCCATTTGAGTGTACTTCTATATTTTGTAGAATAAAATTCTTCAATTGATCAAAGCACTTCCAGAATGTTATCAAAACAATTTCAAAAGTAACTTTTTTGTTTCGAAAATAACTTTTACTTTTCAAAAGTCTTGTCAAATAGCCAGAGTTTCGCCATAATAGATTTATAATCTATTGAATGATTTAATGTGTGATGTAATATAAAAATGATAATGGAATTATTTTCGTATAAAGTTCCAAATTACGTAATAAAATAATTTTAATAAAAAAGAAAAAATTAAACGTAATTTAGTTAATTATTATTGGTCAACCATTGAGTGCCCTCATTTGGCGCGGTGGCTATGATTGTGGGTGATTGTACACGGAGGTAGGATTGGATTCTGTTTGAAACGAATGCGTATGATGGGGAAAAGAACGTGGGCAAATGGGCCCATTTAGCCAGTGGAGTAAAATGTGGGGCCCAATATCGGTTCTGTTGGTCGGCCCATGACATCATGGAATTTTCGGACACTCAAAAAGGGTAAACCACTTTTTTTTTTTTTGGTTTAAATCACTCAAATGTAGACCACTAATGGAGCTTATTTATTCTCCTAATTAACAAAAATTAAATAAAATTGTAGGGCCATTGGCACTATGTATTGGTAATTCCTCCACCATTACGTTATTGTCTTTTTTTTATATTATTTAATCACATATAAAATAGGATTTACAACTATTACATATTTATTCACTAGATGTTTCTATAAATTTATAGTTCAAGAACTTATAATTTCTTTCAAACAAGCATTAAATTTATATCTACGTGTTATATAAAAAGCAAATGTTTATTTTAAGATGGCACTTGAATTAAAACCTTTTATTTGTCGTTTAAATTCTCCAACTTATCAGTTGCGGCTCTGATTCTCATGCTCTGGTTAGTTTCTCCAATTTCTCCTAGCTAACCATCTTTGTTTTTTGATATCCTTTGATTACTATTGAAAGTGGAAGTTTAGAAGTGAGAATTCAAGCAGAGGCAAACCCACAATGGGTCCTAGTGGGTCACGTGACCCACCAACTTCCAGAAATTGATTGATTGATTTATATTATTTTTGGCTTTGAGTCCTCTTCAGCAAAACCCAGAAGAGACTCCAGTGCCCAAATGGAAAAATCGAAACCCATTCCTAGTTCCATTCCCTTGGAAAATCAAAACCCATTCTTCTTCTTCTTCTTCTTATATTGATGAACACTCTTCCACCGACATAGCATACTATAAATGCGTTTAGTTGTGTGTATTGTGTATGTTTTTTAAAAAATTGGTCCCATAGTGAATTCGTCCGTGATTGGTGATATCACAATTCAGGAACTGAGTTGGGCAAAGATTTTTGGACAGTCAACACATAGGTATTGAATTATTTGGCTGTCGTTCAGAGAATTGTGTATTGTATTGTGTATGTATTTATCATGTAAAAAGAAAGTGAGAGAACTGAGAGTGGAATTTTTTTTTTTTTTTACTTTTTTACAACATTTTTGCAATTTTGATTGTATCATGGACGGATCTAGGTTCGGACTACAAGTCCGACTATTTCGTAACAAACTGCTATGACATATAAAAAAATTAAATGTACACATAATTTTTTTTTACTTATTTTTATTTATTTATTTATTTTGGCCCAAAAAACTATTAAAGGGGTGTTTGAGCCACATTATTTTGGTAATAATATATTTTTGAATAGTGTATTGATGAGAAATGTGTGGTTAAAATATAAAGAAATTTTTTTTATTTGCATGTATTATTATTTTATTGAAGAATGTGTGATTGAAATGATGTCAAATCACTGTTTAAGAATACATTTTTTTTTGAAATAATGTGGCTCAAACATGCCCTAAGTGAGTTGAGGAGGGGACTAGGCTACACCCCAGCCCAATCTCCTTTACCGGGATTGTGCCCTACTAATTCAAAAGTTTTACGTCCCCCACTGTTATTCAAGGCAAAAAAGGTGGGAAGTTTAGAAGTGAGAATTCGAGGCAGAAGAGGCACTAAATCCTTTTTATTTTATTATTTTTGTTCTGAAGGAACAAAATAGCTATAATCGAATTTTCAAATAAAATCACACGTCACGGCCATTGCACACTCTTTAGTATTCACAAGCAAACAAAATGGTATGTTTGGGGACATAAGTACCAAGAAAAATTAGTTTAAGACTCAAGTGAACACATGAAAAGGTGGAGTACCCAAGTACAAATTTCCCTAAATCCTTATTTCCAACAACAGAAACTAAAGACTCAAAAACATTTTCCCTCCATTTTATATATATATATATATATATTGAATTATGTAGCAAAGAAAGGAGAAATATGATAAATGTTGCCTAGTCATTATGAATATTGATGGTTTTACTAAGTGGATAATGATGGATGTTTCCAAGTGATGTGATGTCCCTCTCACAATTATTTTCACTCATTGTAAACTTCGTTGCTTATTATTTGTCATTTTTTTTTTTTGTAAATCAATGAAGTGTATTCAAGGATTATAACAAAAGTAGATTGAGAATGATGTGAAAGATCCAAAATCAAGTATTTTAGTATATAATCACGATCTTCTGTGTTTTTTACGGCATTGCTTCTCAATATTTTGAATCATAATAAGTAGATTTACTTTGGAAGTATTGAGTTTTGCTTTTTCCAGGGGAGAAGAATTGTTCGGAAGTATTTTAAGAAATGGTAGAGATTCTCAAGCATATATAATGCACACGATAACACTTATATTCGCGTTTAATGACAAGGACCTACAATCTCGAATGATGTGCTTATTTCAAAGTATATGATAACAGTCAATTTTAACAGAAGAAAAGGAAATTAAAATCATATTTTTTTTTATTTTTATTTTTTGTAAATTTTGATAGAAATTGATTAAATTTATGATTGAGAAGTTGTGGTTCTCATAAAATATGTGATTAGAATTAATTATTAATTTTGACTCAAACTAACATCTAATCATTACTAAGTCCCTTTTTTGTATAGATTAAATTCATATTTTAAGTAAATTTTGATAAAAGTTGATGAAATGTATGACTGAAAAGTTGTGAATTCTATAAAATATGTGGTTAAAATTAAATTTAAATTTTGACTTAGATTAAAATTTTAATTTTAATTTCTATTAATCATGAGCTAAACAAAGACTCATCATAATATTCCAATCTTAAATATTATATACCGTAGATGCACTTATCGATTCAAACGTAATACACCCAACTTGTGTTAAAGTGAATGGTCTTGCGTCGATTAGCCCCCGTTTGATCTTCATTAAATTAAATTATATTACATTCCATTTATCTCTCTCCTATTTTTAATCATACAATCTTTCATAAAATAATATTACACGTAAATCGAAATTTTTTCATCTTTTTTCAATCATTCATTTTTCTAAAAAATACTATTCCCCCCATTTTCATTTTCAGGTAATGAAGCTCAAACGGAGGCTAAAAGTCCAATTTGGAGGGCTGTATGTACCGCGTGGTGCACGATAAGTATATCAAAGTCAAAAATCATAAATTTTCAATTCCATAGCTGCATCCTACTGCATAGCTAGGCTAGAAATTGTGGTGCATCTGCAAGAAAATTTCCAGTCTATGACCATTTTGTGGAGCCTTCTATAGTTCAAAATATTCGATTAACTTTGATTGTTTGATAAGATTTAAAAAAAAAAATCAAGAAATATCTTAGAAATTAAAAAAATATTTTAAAACGTTAAAAAAATATTTTTAAAATGTTTGAATAATTTTTTAAAAATATTTATTTAGCAAATAAAAGAAATTAATTTATAACTTTTTTTAAAAATTCTTTTTCATATAGCTAAAATAATGACAAATGCAAAAGTCCTGAAAAGGGGTTTCCATTACGCCCCGATTTGGCCCCCATTAATTTCAATTTCATTTTTCTCTCTCCTATTTTCATTCACAAAATCTTTCATAAAATAATATTATATGTAAATTGAAATTTTTTTCTTCTTTTTCAACCACTTATTTTTCAAAAAAATATTATTTTACCCATTTTTATTACCACAAAATGGGGGCTAAACGGGGTAAATTCATTTTTCTCTTCTTTCTTATTAACCATATATTTTTTAATAAAATAATATTACACGTAAACTTAAAATTTTTTTCATCATTTTAACCACACATTCTTTAAAAAATTATTATTCTTTTCATTATAATTTGAAATAATAAAGCCCAAACAAAGGCTCAAAACAAGTTTTCCTATTTATTACTTGATTCAACAATAAAATATATTAAAAAAATGCATTAATGCCAATAATAATAACCCCACAATAACCACCACGATCACTCAATTTATACTAATAATGACAATAATAAGGTACACACTAAGAATACTAATGATGGGAAACCCAATAACTTAAAATGTGTGTAGACGGAAGAAGGAACGGATTTATCGCTCGACTAACATTTCAAAAGTGGTAAGGATAGGGGTTTGAGAAGGTACTCTTCTAACCCACAAATCATGACTTCTTGAAAGAATCTAAGGAATAAATACGAGTTATATTTGAGATTGCAATATCATCTTTCTTGTATTGACAA